ACATGTTGGAAGATCTCTTTACCTATCACGATCGGAACATGAAGATTCGTGAAAGAAAGTCGGCCGTCTAGGGAGGCAATAGTCCCTCCAAACATTCTCCCTCAAAATTTTTGTGACATCTCGCTTTATGTGGCCTCTCCTTGTCTTGTAGTTGTATTGCTTGATTTTCAGTGAAGTGAAGAATTTGTAGATAAAACTAAACATAAACATGAAGTATATGGATTTGTGAAACTTTCTTAAGTTGCTCATGAGTGCCTTGGTTCCCATATTAAAGACAAGTGGTACGATAAATCTCCTGGACGTGCAGGATTAGTGCGCCTAGCAAGACAGAATTCGGCGCCCCCAAGCAGGCGCTGCGTGGCGCCTTTTCCAAGGAAAATACCCTTATAAAGGCCTATCAAGTTGCAACATACGACCTGGACGCCCACCGTGCCCGCCCGCCTACAAATGTCCGACCGATGCTGATGTTCGTAACGCTTTATTCGCGAAAATAGATATGAAGCGAAGGGAAAGATATGAAGCGGCTGCGGTACTGCATGGATATATGAGTACACACATGGCGGCCGTGTCTACCGCAACCGGTATTGGCACGATGCCATCGGGAATCGGGAATCTCGTCCAAAATTGCCTTCTGAGTCGTGTAGGATTGCTTCTCTGGTAGGTTTTCGACCCTTTCACTTCGATTTTTCGCCATTTTCCCCACTATATAGCACACCTGCTACCATTTTAGACCGAGCACCCAAATTGTCGTACCTCATGCCATACACGCCTATTGGGAACTATTACGAGTAGAAAATAAAAAAAATAAAAAAAATAAATAGAAGTATGATAGTTGCTTGAATTTGGTTAGGCGGGAGCGAATAATGGAGAAATTTCGCAAATACTGTATTGCTTGCGAGGAACCCACATACAAGCAGTTGATTTATCGCTCGGCAGACAATTTGCTAGTAGTTGACAGAGGGATGCAAGGCTTGGTTGGTTCGGGCGGGTTTAAAGCCAAATTTTGATTTGACGCTTCAAACAGGCTCGACATGCTTAGCGTGAAGGAGTATTGTGCGTTTTACCCATGCGTGCCGCGTGGCGCCTATCCAACGCCCTATGGGCGCCAGCGTGTAACAGGTGGCAACATGCCGCCCGAATGTCCACTCACCGCCCGCCCACCAAAAGGCCGCCAGTTACATTAACATGGTAGCCTTATTAGTTTGTGTGCAGGTAGAGCAATCTGATATGAAGCGTTGCTACAGGGGTCGTACCTATCGAAGCGATGTTGCCAGCGGAACACTCGTCCAAAAATGCTCGCCCAGTGCCGTGCAGAACAAATGTTTTTTGCAGGTTTTTACCACTTAGCTTCCCTTTTTTGCATTTTCCTTCTAAATAACTCCCTGCTAGTATTTCTGAGAAAGTACCAAGTTATCTTGCCCATGCATTTAATGTCGGTCTGATGGATGTTGGGGTTGAAGAACTCGAGAACAGAATCCCATGCGAACGCCTAGAGACTCCATTTACCTCGCCAGTCTGTGAAAAAAGGCTGGTGCCTCCTACTACCGGGGGAGGGTCTCCAGTTGTCTGCCGCAAAAGACTCCTTTGTGGAAATCATGTAGCAGCTCTAGACTGAATCAAGAACGGTAAGGCTTATTGGGCTCGTTCGCGATGGGATGGCTACAATTTGTCGTGAAGGCAAAAGCAGTGGTGGAGAGCTCGCTTCTGCTTATAAAAGAACGCCACCTTTGGTCTTTCTGGTCTTCTTCTTTGTCACCCAAGGCGACTAGACGTTTATGGTGAACCCTGCCAGCAAAATGACATCGCTTTCACCTGTACCTGGTTTACTCAGAGATCAGCGATATTTCATGAGTGACTGATGAACCAAAAGTTATGTATTACCATGTGAAGCGATCTCTTGATCGTGCAGAAATATCTGTAAAATAAGAGCACAGATTCCGGAAGAAAAAGTTCAGCTTGTCGCCTTCCCGTGATTCTTCCCAGCAAATTGATAACCCTTTGTCCCACACTTACTGATAAGGTAATGTGTTCCGTCAGAAATAACGCCTGCACATCAGCTTTTCCACAATTATCTATCATACCATAATACTGTTTTCTGTAGTTTGGGTTCTTGACTCCTTAGACCATAGGATTGCCTATAGTTAGCTTGAGAAGGTGTGGAGGCTGAAACTTATTGTTTCTGGTGAAACCCCCCCCCCCCCGCCCCCACGCCCCCCACCACCCCTTCCAGAAGTGCCTTTTTACGTGAGTTCTATCCTAAAACAATGTACTGGGTACAGGACACTGTAACAAGACAACATGCCTAACAGCCCAGTAACCTAAGACAAAGAGGACGTTTGCACTTTTCCGCCTGCCAACTTTCCCTTTCCGCAAAAATGCCTAATGCCGGCACTACACTTCGTCCGGATCGCCTTGGTCAATGCACCCTATGCTAAAGAGACAAGATTCTTGAATCAGAAGCTGCCAATACCCCTGATCAGAGGCTCATTTTGGCATTTTTTCTGAATACGCTGTTTGAGATTAGAGCCGCATATTATTATGCATTCAGAAGGTTGCCGTCTGTTAAGACAGTATGGCGAGGCTCCCATGTTTCCCATGTTTTGCCTCGTCTATTAACGCGATGTTCATGTCATCGACCAGAGGCACATTTCCCGAATGCCAGTGGACCCTGGGCTGGGCCAGCGCGTAAGTGGTTTTCCGACCATTAGCAGTGTGCTGCTCTTCATAGCTTCGAGAAGCAGAGTCACAAACCAATGAGAGAACGGCACATTTTTAGCTGATGGTGGGGGCATGCGAAAAAGGCTGGGGGCAGACCCCCTTGATAGTTTGCTAGATTTCTTCTTTCGGCGACTCTCATCAAAGTATCGGTATTCAGTTTCGGCCAAGGGTTTTGAGCGGGGACAATCCCAGTACTAAGGCAAACTATGTACATCCGAATACTGGTTCACAGTGCCTTCGACTATCTGCTTCAAAAATTTTCGCTTTTACAAGAATGAGGCTCCGCAAACCTGCATATTCAGTTCGTTCAGAAAATATCGTCCTTGACCCTTTACACTCACTGCTGGTGCCTATTAGATACGCATGTTCAGCATGGGAATGAACATTGAAGAAGATAGTGCCGACGTGAAAATGTTGATAACTGTGGCAGTCATTCGGACCGCAGAGATACTATGAAGAGACATTGAGAACAGGTAATGTGAGTATGAGGTCTCAGAGCCTTTGCCAACATGATTTGCGCGTTTTATATGTACAGGGGGGGGGGGCAAAAAAAAGTCATTCCGGCCGAGTCACATATGAGCGAAGTTTTCGCAGCCCAGACAGAGGAAGTGGATATGAGTACCAGGGCGGAAGATACCCAAGATCTTCCTCTATAAGCAGGAGCCGGCTGCCGCCATTCACCTTCATGTACACCAAAATATGAAGTCATTCTCCAGTCGCGCCTGAGTGGAAGGAACGCCTTTTGAATCCATCGTGCCCTGCCAAACAGCTGCGGAACTTCTTGAATGGAATCACCCATGGATAGCTACCTGGAGACCAGTACTCTTGATCTGCAAGACCTCAAACATCGAGCAGCTCCGGCAACGTCGCTACGGTCCAGGACATCATCTTCACCCCATTCACCAAGGCGCGGGTTGATGGTGTGGGTCCGGCCGTACCTGGAATGGATGAACCGATATTTTCTTCGTGGGCCCCAGACTGAGGGTGTGCGCTGGTGGCTACATCGAGCAGCTCGAGGAGAATATCCCATCTTCATGTCGTCGCCCGTACCTTCTTGGAAACTTTGTACTGCTACAGGATTGGGTGACAACACATTTAATCGAAGATCGTTGGAAAAAACTATTACGCCAGGCTACTTGGCAAATGGAAGAAACGATTGATACCTGGAGAAGGATGAGTGATTAAGCGGGGGTCCTAGAGACATAAAGGGCCCCTCAATTACTGCAGCTCGGGTTTAGGGAGCTCACAGGATGGTCCCTACTCAGTGGCGGAAAATCAAAGCGAATCGTCGCTCGAAAGCTCCGGTAGCGCCACACGCCTCACTTTCGCGCCGGACCCGATCTCGGTCGAATGGCGCTGCGCTCCAGAAGGCTGTGGCGGAATTATCGTTATACGTATTCATGTGGCTCATTTATACTGGTGGTAAAAACTGTCCGATAGAAGAATTGTAATAAAGTGTAACTATGATAGCGCAGCTGTTGAAAGTCATAGGAGGACAATAATGATGTTTTTTTGAGCCCCCAGATCCCCTAGTATGTTTAGGGGGGGGGGGGGGGGGGGGGGATGGAATCCTGCATTTAAACGTCGGACAGAGGGCATGACTTGGAGAGCCGAGAAGGGATTACCACACGAGTTGTAGCAGGCTCAAACGCACTTTATTGGCGGCGGAGCCCCCCTGGCTGACTGTCCAATACCGCGTCCAATACCACAAGCACACGCCAGATGGACCGTTTTGCAGTAATGATGTAACTTTTTTGCGGTGTTATACAGTTTCACATGAAGAACACCCAGACCAGCACGGCTCAAGTTTCTTGTATATTAACAAGAGTAAGGATGAAGAGACTTTCTCGCTCTTCCATCAGTTTGAATAGAATCTGTTTGATTTTGTAATGTCGGCGTTAGGAAAATATGGCGGGTCACGTAACGGCCACACCGCCTCAGAAGGGGTTGGTCAAGTCATTTTGAAAGCACTGGTGGTTTGAGATTACAGCAGCCCAATTCTTCGCGCCTAACCTTCTTGGATGGACGCACCGTCTCTCTGGACACTGCAGACTTGCGTGAGGCACGACCTAAATCGAAGAGAAAGCAAAATAACGTGAAGCAAATTTATTGTAAAATACATGATAAGAATGGAAACGAATGGAATTAATTCAACCGAATTGTTTCCTTTGGCACTTCAAAAATAGTTAGATTCAAAATAGAACAGGAAGTGAACTTTTTTTGCAAAACATCAGAGAGACAGGCAGCGAAGAGGGTAACCTTTTATAGTGCCTTACTTTGGGATGATTACAGTGCCAACATTACTTTCATGCAATACATTGCAGGGATTCATGTCAAAAATTCTACTCATTGAACCTGACTGGCAAGAAAAGGACAAAGACTTGCCGGATAAATTCATAGTGAAGGTAGGTGCCCTATGTTTAGGAAAACAATGCAAAGAGGTGAAATTTTTGTGAATATTTTCCGAATGAAATTATCTCAGTGGGCGTAAACACTGTAAACTCTGAAATCGATTCACAATTGCTCTGTATTTTTTTATCCTCCTTATGCAATGCTTGTGCTGAAAAATGAAGAACCCTCATGGAAAGGCTGTTTTTAGATTGTAACACAACTTGTCATGCAGAAGTTCACAAATGAGCTTTCCAAGCAGAAGCAGCTCAATAACAACTTCATCAGCCCGACCTTCATGGTCGACTACGAAACACTTCAAAAACGAGTAAGGAGCTTAATGGATTTTCAGAATAAATGACGGTACAAGTCGGCTGAGGGGCATTCCTCGTGCAAAATGAGGCTATCTCATTGCGAAAAAGCGCTTCTCACACGAAAAAATCGGTTCGCGGAGTTTTTTTTTCTCAAAAAAACGATCGTCACTTCTGTGGTGCAGGAGCAATCCTGTGGTGCATCAGCCGACGTGTGGTGCCAGATGACCATTTGTTTAGTTATGTGAACCGTGTAAATTCCAGGATCACAACAACGAAGTGGTTGTCTACGAGTATTTGAAGAGAATTCCAGAGGAAAAGGTCAAGGTCCCAAAGGTGATGAGATTTTTCCTTTCCATTGGTCTTTTTGGAACAACTAGTCATTCGCTTAATTCGCTATTCATTTCCATGCGAATGGCTATTCCATATTCCGCTAGTACCAAACTAAGAATGGGATATATCATATTTCTCTGGTGTACAATGGGGATTTACATGCATGGTCACGGAGATGCGCGTGATAGCGCGCACGAAACCTTTCTGAGGCGGCAACAGTTTTTCTTGACTTTTTCGCAAATATTTCCCTCCTAATCAGTTTTCTGGTCTGGCTTTGAATTTTTATTAAATAAACATAGAAACATAAAAGGATAAAAGGATAAAGTCTTCGCAAGGCCGAAGCGAAGGCGAGCCCATTGCGCGCTGCAGGTGCGCTCGATACCCACAGAATAAAGCACATTTACAGTTGATTTTGTCGTCATCATTTGGGTTGGTTTCAAAAGGCTGCAATGAGGCCGAACCGTGGTCGTTACTAACCGATGCTGTTATTAGAAAAAGCAACTACAGGTGGGCTCATTCCGCCACTCCTGGCACTACCTCGCTGATTGCCACGATATAAACTACACTTCAAGGATAATATTTTAGTTTCTGACCAACCTGTAACTCCTACATCCCACTGATCAGCAGAATCATTTCATTTTTCTTTGGCTTTTGTCCCAAAGCGCATGGGATTATCTTCAGTACAGAGACGCGGAGTCATTTATTCCTTTCGTACAGAGCTTCCAAAAAGTAAACATCCTGTATGCTCATGCATACAGGGTACAGGGGGGCCCAAAAAAAGACACTTTTCTTCCTCGACTTTCAAGGCGCTATAAGTTACACTTTATTGAATTCTGATTGGACATTTCCACCACCATATTCAACAGCATATTGTATACTATCATGATACTCCGCCACAGCCTTCTGGACGAGCGCCATCGAGAGATTCTGCCGCGATGATTCGGTGCCTGAGTTCAGCGAGGTCGTTGATTTCTCCGCCACTGTAGACCACCCTGTTGAGCTCCGCCCGAACCGGGTAATCGAGGGGGTTTAGGTCAGGTGACACACTTAGTTATTTCTTCTTCAGGTACTCAACGCCCTTCGATTCCAAGTAGGCGAGAGTTTTTCCAACGCCCTTCGATTCCATGTGCTGGCACCCAATCCTGTAGCAGTACGAAGTTTCCAAGATGGTACAGGCGACGACATGAAGGCAGGATATTCTCCTCGAGTTGGCCGATGTAACCGTCAGCGCTCACTTCCAGTCCGGGGTTATTGGTCTTCCCATTCCAGGAACTTCCGGTCCATACCATCAACCCGCGCCTTGGCGACTGCGGTGAAGATGATGTCCTAGACGTTGTCGGAGCTGCTCGATGTTGGAGGTCTTCCAGATCGAGAGTACTGGTCTCCAGGTAGCTATCCATGGTGACTCCATACAAGAAGTTTCGCAGCTGTTTGGAGGTGACGTGAATTCCATAGGCCTTCTCCAGTCCGGCTGCGATTGGAGATGGCTTCATATTTTGGTGTACATGAAGGTGATGGACGAGAGCCTGCTCCTGCTTATCGAGGAACATCTTGGGTATCTTCCGCCTGGTACTCGTATCCACGTCTTCTATCTGGGCTGCGTAAACTTTACTGATATGTGACTCGGATAAGGTGTCTTTCCCCCTGTACTCGCGAGTATTCTGCACGCTTGGTTGAATCGCTAGGTGTGGAAGGCTTGACCTCGATAGCTTCTAAAATTCTGGACGTCTTTTGTGGTTTTTAGAATATTTTGAGCGAACCTACCGCAGTTTCGAGCTGCACATCAGATTACTTTAGTAGTCGATGAGTGGTTCATTTTCCTGGAGGGCCACCCAATGCGTGTCCACAGTTCAATGCGCTTATGTTAATGTTACGTGTTCACATAGTCTACGAGGTCCTGACACCTGATGACACGGCACTGGCAAGGAATTCTCTAGCGTGACACGCCTTTTCGACGCTTTCTCCTTTTTTTTGCTAAACAGCAATTAGTGCTGGTGGATGAAGATTGTTGCTCGGATTGAAGGGGTAGGATAGGAGCTTCGATGTGGGTGAAGCCCCTTCATGCAAGAAAGGTTTTTCGTATTTTGTGAAAAAGTTCACTACCGTCCTTCCCCCGACAATGTTAATGGTGTGTCATGAGATGTCCCAGAGCGTAAACTACCGGACTGCGGACCTCCGATGAAATTGCGCCATTCTGGACATCAAGAAACTCTCTCCCTTTCTCAGAAAGCAGCCGCGCATGATTACAGATTACTTGCCCGCTGCGGATGCTGGGGCGTGTGTAGGAGTTGATCGCGGTAGCAGGGCGGTTTCCCACTCACGGTTGTGGCTTCACCGCCTTGCAATTGGTTAAAAACGCGCTGGCGCCGTGCCAAACCCAACCGTCCCCCTGTTACGGCTCACCGCAGCGAACAAGGCTATACGTTCACAACGAGAACTGAAACGAGTAGGAAATAACGTGTACTGAACTTCTGCTATTATTTATTATCATGTTACAGATCTATTGTGCGAAGAAGTTTAGCGAAAGTAATCCAGTTAAAGGATATATAGCCATGGAGTATATGGAGAACATCAAAGAAGTGCATGTATTTGAAAACGTCACACCAATGCAGCTAAAACAGGTTTGTTGCCACACAGGGCTGGCATAAAGCATTTCCAAAAAATGTGCTTGTTAATTTGGGGCATGAAAATTGACAAGTAAATGATTGCAATTTAGATGCGCTAGAAATGAGCAATTTTGTTTCCACCAGCCCTACTAGCCATGCTGATCCAGTTGACAGTGTGAAAGATCGGGCCACCCTTAAGATCCAGCCATCACATGGATGGTCGGGCGTGGTCGTGGAGAAGTGCGCGACCCCATGATTGATGCTTTGAGCACCGCGCCCTTGTTGTGCTTACCAAGATTTCTTCCCATGAAGAAGTTCTAGTTATGCCACTCAGGACTCCCAATAAGCTTCGCCAGAGTTTTGAGGAGTGAGCTACACAAAACTCGTGCGAGCACGCTAGCACTAGAATTCTTGCGTTGGCGCTAAGCTCTGGCGAAAGTACGCCCCCCCGGAGCGTAGGAAAGCGCACAGCTACTACAGTAGTCCAGTCTCGCAGTGAGGACTCCCGTTGCTCCTCTAGAAGGCTCCTTGACTCCGCATTTTCCCTCTTTTTGGCGAAAAGTTGTCGTTTCTCAAGGCTCCAGCTATCGAACTGTCGTTGTCTCCATCCCCAATCGAGAGTAAATGGAGCATTTGGCATATTCAAACATACAAAATGATTTTACTTTACCATGTCATTATTTTTGGTTTCATCTCAGGTTTTTACGCTATAAATCCGTTCTTGAAGCATATTCACTTGACCTTACATCGGAAGAAAGAAAAACATTCAACGAAGAGCCATTTAACAACGTTTACAATAGAATGTTCAAAACAGGAGGTGAGGAGCACATTAATATCTGAGGGTTGAGCCTCAAAAACTGCTGAGCCTGCCACACTGTGAAAGTTTAATCGTTACACCAGTAGGAGCTAATGCCATTGTCTGGGAAACAATATCTGATATGATTTCCTGGTAACAATCTTTGCCTTGAATGCGGCACTAATGAACTAGCCTTATCTTAGCTTCACCTGGTGCCGAAAACGCCATGTGTAAAAAGATGGTGACGAGAAGATGGTGCAGCTCCAAAAACGAATGTCGTGTTTGTGGCCAGGCACCAAATTGTCTGTATAGGCGTAATTCCAGCATTTTTTGTTTTGAGAAAGTAATAGATAGATGAGATTCGATAATCTATTATACGATTGAAATTCGAGGTCTTGGATCTGAAACTCATATTCATTTTTTTCATATTTTTTTTCATTTTCAATGCGTTCCATAGAGTCTTTCAGGTACTGGCAAATATAGTGCCGATGTTCGGTTCATTCAAGATTGGAAAACTTGCGGAAAGCGCAAAACGTCTAGAAGAAATTATTCCGGACATGGTTGATTTCAAATGGGCGGAGAATTTAGCCGATGAACTGGGTAGGTACACCGTTGTCATTGGTATACTATAGGAGACAACGTTTGGGATTCCGCCCTTTTTTGGTCTCTCATGGTGGTGAAAAGGCAGGATGAGCAGGGCGCGCCATTGACGCCCTCCATTGAATTCGCCTATCAGGTAGTTCTGAACGGTATTTTAATGAAAGCAGTTTGGGAAACGTTCATGCTCTGCTTATTTTCCAGAGGGCACCAGTCAAGATGAGCTGTCAAGTTGGCCCTTTTCTTCAGTGCCTAAGCGATATTCGGGGCATTAGTCTTGGGGTACGTGGGGAGGGGAGGTGGTGAGTTTGATGACTGTCAGTCGCCATTATTGTGGTTCGCTGAACCGAAGCGTGATAAGGGAGGCGCTGAAGGTGAGAACAGAGCATACTTACTCGACATACTGCATAACTTCCGCATGAAACCAGCTAGGTCTGAAAGCCGCGCACCTGACGCCGCTTGAAACTTCGTTCCCACCGTACCGCCGAAAGTGGGTCTGTTGCCCCACTCCTGAGAAACACGGATTCAAGTTTTCCTATGTTCACGTCGGACTGATCTATCCACTGCAGTTTTTTTTGCAACCGTAATTTTTGAAGAGACTTAGCGCTGAAATAACCCGCACTTATTTATAAAGGAATGGATCGCGTTCTGTGTCATGGAGATTTATGGTCAATGAATATTCTTTGGAAGACGAGCGAAGATGACCTCAATCTAGGCGCTGTAATTGATTATCAGGTAATAAATAGAAGTAAACAATTAGAGATAGTAAAAATAATTTAATGAAAATAGGATTTCATCGAAACTGTCTTAGGATCAGCACTTTGTTTTCAGTAGAAATGAGAGAGACAGTCAGGTCTTCTGTACGGCTCATTGGTAAGCCCGCCCCCTCATTACCGTTTCATGAAGGGTGGGTTCACCAGTGGGTAGAGCATTGTAGGCCTGGCTCCGCCCATACAATCTGCATGTAAAGTACCATCATCACCCCATTTAGACAGCTCATTTTGGATGCTCTGCAACTGACTTGGTTCGCATGTTTTCATCATGTCTCAGTGGCAAGGAACGAAGAGCCCATTGGGAGGAACTTCTAGAAGAATTCTACGGATACCTCAAGGAAGAAGTTGGAGACCGAAAGATGCCGTATACAATTGAACAGGTTGAAATTCAGAAATTTATTATTTTACAAGAAAATCGAAAACTTCGAAAATCATATTTGTAAGTAATGTCTTCTTTCGAGCATTTTGGAAGTGCAGGTCTGCATTTGGGAGAGGGAATGAAGCGGTTCAAGGTCTAGAAAATTGCTAAGAATTTCGCGCACCCTGAAGCCCTATTGACATTGAGATAGCAATGCTATCCTTGTTTCCAACTCTTTCCAGCTTTTTTCGGGTTCCGTTTTTTTCATTTTGCTCCACAACGTCACATTATATACCGCTGCTGTTGTGGCTGCCCTATCACAGTAGCAGGACTTCTGAACAGGATGTTCTCTCGCGGCGTGGGCCCAGAACTGCTCATCCTATCTTCGGGAAACAGGAAGAAGGGAGGAGAGAAGAGATAAGGAAGGAAGGGAAAGGAGGAATGAGGAAAGAGGCCTCACGCTTGGGTGATAAGCTGAGGCCTTTCGCAACAGTAGGTCCTGCAGGGAAAGGGAAAAAGGAGTGAGAGCAACCACTTGAGCTGCTGCTTCCACTTGCTGAGCACGTCTATTGTCAATCTACTGCATCCTGTGGTGTTCCAAACTTGATTTGTTGGGCTCAGTGTGATCCAAGAAAG